GAAGTAGAAAGAATACTACCCCCCGCATCTCTTTCTCTAGGATGGAATATGAAGTTTTCGAATCATACACATGTCTGGTGATGAAAGACTGCTCATATACTTCTCCATGCACCTTTTCAGAAGCCTTTCAAAAGAGAGAACAGATAAAAATCTCTATCACATTTTTTTTTTGACAGGCAGAGTTAGACAGTGAGAGAGAGAGAGAGAGAGACAAAGAGAAAGGTCTTCCTTTTTCCTTTGGTTCACCCCCCAAGTGGCTGCCACAACTGGCACGTTGTGGCCAGCGGGCTGCGCCAATCCGAAGCCAGGAGACAGGTGCTTCCTCCTGGTCTCCCATGCGAGTGCAGGGCCCAAGGACTTGGGCCATTCTCCACTGCACTCCCGGGCCACAGCAGAGAGCTGGCCTGAAGAGGAGCAACCAGGACAGAACCCGGTGCCTCAACCGGGACTAGAGCCTGGGGTGCAGGCGCCGCAGGCAGAGGATTAGCCTAGTGAGCCGCGGCGCCGGCCTCTATCACTTTTTTGTGACCATAATTATGAGACGAAGGGTAATACAAGAAGGTAATAAACTATTGTAATTTTTAAAAATAATGGGTTATAACATTTCACTATAGACATTGAGCTATATTGAGCAAAAAATACAACAAAGTCTTAAGACCCCTTTACTATATAACTTTTATCCTTTTGCTGTTTCCTATAACCAAATTTCCCTAGTTCTTTCTATATTCAAATTTAAAAATTAATCAATACTCCAGTTGCAGGGATCCAGTTTGACTTCACCATAGCTATCTTGGTAGTACTTGTCATCTTGCCCTTTAGGTAATCCTGAGTGTTCCCAAATACTGAGATAAATTTGCTGAGATAACCTGTTGTTCATATCTGATGCCTGTTTAATAGTATTTCTTGACAAAGCCCAGGTACACTCATTAGCTAAAGGCCACTTTTTTCTATAAAATCCTTTTCCTCGGGGCCAGCACTGTGGCACAGCGGGTTAACACCCCGGTCTGAAGTGCCAGCATCCCATATGGGTGTAGGTTCGAGTCCCGGATGCTCCACTTCCAATCCAGCTATGGCCTGGGAAAGCAGTAGAAGATGGCCCAAGTCCTTGGGCTCCTGCACCTGTGTGGGAGACCCAGAGGGAGCTCTTGGCTCCTGGCTTCAGATGGGCACAGCTCTGGCTGTTGCAGCCATCTGGGGAGTGAACCATCAGATGGAAGACCTCGCTCTCTCTCTCTCTTTCTCTGCCGCTCCTCTCTGTGTAACTCTTTCACATAAATAAATGTTTTTTTTTTTTTTTAAATCCTTTTCCTCCTGACTCATACTGTGAGTATTCACTGTTTTGTGGCCACCCAAGACCACAAGTTCATTTTTAAGTCCCTAACCAATTTATTCTGTATAACCCTGGATATGTGTGTCTCTTTCTTTGGTTTCAGGGCCCTTTCAATTAAAGAACTTATGGTCACTGAGTGAAGAAGGTGAAGAGGTGCAGGTAAATTTAAATGACAATGCTGTGCTGATAGAACACAAAATGACATACTTCTTAGTTTTTTTGTGATTCACTGTTATAAAGATTCTGTTGGAAACAAATTATTTTTACAACAGAGCTTTCTTTAATCAACTGAAATGTGAACTTACATGTCTGTATAGTTGCTAAGATCTTTCAAATATTTTAGATGATTGTAGACAAAGAACACCTCCTTTTTTTAAAAAATTGTAACTTCAACATGCTGAAACGGAAGTGAACTACATGTTCTTTTTTCCTATCCTAAATCAAATCCTTTATTAGACACATACTACAAAAACCAAGATAATATCTGGTTTTTGAGACAGGAATCTGTTTTTCAGTTCCTCAATGCAGTAGTTTAAAAAAAAAAAGAAAAAAATATTTTCTGCTTCAGTCCACATACAATATAGGCTTTGCTTATTCTCCAATATTCTTGCCCACCAAACAGACTGGATCATATATTCCCTGAAATCCTTTGGACACTGAGTCAATTTGTTAAGTCAACAACAGGAGTCACTGTGCACTTATTCCTCATGTAGGATCTCTGTCCTTAATGTGCTGTACATTGTGATTTAATGCTATAACTAGTACTCAAACAGTATTTTTCACTTTGTGTTTCCATGTGGGTGCAAACTGTTGAAATCTTTACTTAATATATGCTAAACTGATCTTCTGTATATAAAGAGAATTGAAAATGAATTTTGATGTGAATGGAAGGGGAGAGGGAGCGAGAGAGGGGAGGGTTGCGGGTGGGAGGGAAGTTATGGGGGGGAAGCCATTGTAATCCATATTCTGTACTTTGGAAATTTATATTCATTAAATAAAAGTTAAAAAAAATTGGACACTGAGTACACATATATGTGTTTAACCTAACAAATCTATAAAATATGAATGAGATTTCAGTGGTGTTGCACAGTCAACAAAACATCAAAGAAATAATTTAAAATACCACCGGGGAAAAGAGAGAAACATTATTTGTTGATATGTCTTTCATCTTCTTTACAGAAATCATTTCATATCCTCATAAGCAGTCTCAGCAAGTAAGCTTCATTATTTCATTTGGAAGAGAGGAAACCGGCTCAGGGATGGTCTAGTGGCTTGTCCAAGGATACTGTAGTTTAGTGGTAGAGCCGGAATTCAAGCCTGTCTTTCTCTTTCCCTCCCTTCCTTTCTTCCTTTAAAGATTTATTTGAAAGAGTTAGAGAGAAGGTGAGACAGAGCGATCTCCCATCTGCTGGTTCACTTCTCAGATGGCCACAAGGGCTGGGCTGAGCCAGACCAGAGCCAAGAGCAGCATCTTCCTGGTCTCTCAGATGGGCAACAGGGCCCATGCACCTGGGCCATCTTCTGTTGCTTTTTCTAGGCCATTAACAGGGAGCTGGATAGGAAGTAGTGCCCATATGGGATGCCGGCCTGGCAGGTAACAGCTTTACCCTCTATTCCACAACTCTGGCCCCCAGCCCTTTTTTCTAACCTCTGTCATTACATCCATTGTATGAATTAAGAAGAGTATTAAACTTAACATTACATTTGTGAACTGAAATAGACTATTTGGTATATACATTTTGTTGACCTGTTGTATAGCGCTCTCCTCACTATACAAAACTAAAACTAACTAACGATGAAATTATTTAGCTTACTGAAAAATATCAGTATCTTCAATGATAGCCTAACAGAGCTCTGGAACACTGGGCTCGTGAGCTGGTAGCATCACGAGCTCTGTGTTCCCACGGTCAAAGACGCACTGGCTAAGCCTATTTTGTTAACGCCCATTGCTCTGTCTCCTGAAAACTCCTTTGGGGATCAGTTTCTGGCAGGAGATAATGATTTTTTTTTAAAGATTTATTTATTCTTTTTAAAGTCAGCGATACACAGAGAGAAGGAAAGACAGTGTGATCTTCCATCCATTGGTACACTCCCAGACGGCTGCATGGGCCAGGTGGGGGAGCCAAGAGCTTCCTCCAGATTTCTTATGTGGGTGGCAGGGGCCCAGGCACTTTGGCTATCCTCCACGGCTTTCCTAGGCACATCAGCAGGAAGCTGGATTGGAAGTGGAGCAGCAGGCACTCTCACTAGCATGGGCTTGCAGGCGGCGGCTTAATCTGGCAGGCCACAACGCTGGCCCAGGAGGTAATAAACTGCAACCGGAATACAGCAGAGCAAACTTTCCCGAAACACGGAAAGTACAAGAAGGGTTCGTTTCCCAAGTGAAATGGCTAACAGAGCAGACGGTTTCATCTTGGGCCACTCTCTGTTTCAGAACCGGGAGGTGACAAAAGTCAAACCAAGAAGCGATCCTCTTTTCTCCAGCCAATCACAGTCCCCGCTCCCGGCCCGCCCGGCTCCCCTCGGTCGTTTGGGGGTCCGGGCGGAGTTGGGGGGGGGTCCAACGGCCGAGGACGCCCATTGGACAAAAGGCTCCTGGAAGACCGCCTGGAGTCGGGTGACTCGCGCCGCGCACACTGAACGTCTAAGCCTGTCGTTTTTAAGCCTTCTCCCTTTTCCTTCCCTCAGCCTCCACCGAAAACTCCAGGAGGGAAACCGGGACTCCCTCGTCAGCCCGCCACCAGGCCTCTTAGAAACTCCCTCAAACTTCTGAGTCCGTCACACGGCCTCTTCGGAGCCCTTCTCGGGCCTCGGCGGCTAACGACGAGCTCTTTCCTTACCTCTCCCAAATCAGCCTCTCCGCAGAGGGGAGGAGCGGAGGCTGGGCGTCCGGCAGCGCCCTGCAGCCGCCGCCACCGCGCCCACCGGCCGCTCCGCCCCTTCCCCTGCCCTTCCCCCCCGGCTCGCGCTCCCGCTCGGGCCGGAGCCGGAGCGGCGGGCGGCGCGCATGCGTGCCGAGGGTGGAGTCGCCAGGCACAGAACCGGAAACTTAGACACAAAGTTCGGAGCCCCGCCCCGGGCAGCCCGCCGTCTGGCCCCGCGGACTCTCCGACTCTCCGACCCGTGACCGACGCTTCGGCCCCCCTGTCTCGCGTGTGCCATGTCTGGTTCCTCCAGCGTCGCCGCTATGAAGAAAGTGGTTCAGCAGCTCCGGCTGGAGGCCGGCCTCAACCGAGTGAAGGTGAGCGGGCGCGGTCGGGTGGGGGAGGGGAAGGCTGCGGCGGGTGGGCTCCGGCGTCCGGGCCGGCTGGAGCGGGCGCCACCCTCGCGGGCCCTCGGTTCTGGGGCGCGGGGGGACCGCGCTGGGCCGCTTCAGTCTGCCAGCCGCCGGCTTCGAAGTTGCCGCGCGGGCTGGGGAACCGATCAGTCCGCCCTTCCGCCCCAGGATTTTCGATGCGGGCTGGCCCCCAAGCTGAAGCGCACTCCGCGTCCCGGGGCCGCCTCCGTCCGCGCTGGCCCGACGTCGGCCTCTCTCAGCGCCGCCCGCACCCGTCCTTCCCTTCCCTTCTCTCTGCAACAGCCTCCGCTGTTTGTTGTCATCGGACAGGGTATTTTCCAACTTATGATTCAGAACAGACTTACTTAAGATTCAGATTTTTGCCACACCTACTTGGTTTAGTGATAGATTCTTGCCTCCAGATCACCTCGTTGTGTTGAACACGAACGTGTAAACGAATTCTTGCGTAACTGTGGATTAAAGAAGTGTGTTTGTGTTCAGAAAGTTCCCAGAGACTGAGGTTACCGCCGTGCTCGGCACAGCCTCCAACAAAGCGTGCCTTTCATACCTCTTTGGCTCAGCGGGCCGGGATCTGACCGCCCGAGAGAGAGATGAAGGGTGGGCCGGTGCTCGTCTTAGGTATTTTGGCGGCTGGTTGGCCTTGGCTGTGTCTTTGGGGAAAGGCTTTTTGTCTATGTTGGTAGGGCAGCTTGACATTCAAGCGCTATTCCAAATATTTTCTGATTTAAAAAATCCTAGATAAATTGGCTAGTTTCTGATGCAATTAGGTTACAATAGGAAAGACTTCCTTGTAATTAAAAAAAAAAGATTGTAGACCATAAACCCTGCTAGCAGTAGGCACTTTCCAAGATGATTTGACTTTGTACTACTCATCGAACTAGTCTAGTCTTTGTTTCTTCCTGACACTTTTTCTTTTTTTTGGAGAGGGTCTCCCGTTTTCCTTGACTGTCAATATATGTGACGGACATGGTTATTTGTGGCCATTCCTGGAGAGAAGGGAAATTTCTGTCGGTCTTAATGTGGGATTCCCCCGACCTGTTAACCATTAAGTGTGGTAGACAAAACTGCTGTTTGGAATCCATTTCTCTAATCTCTCAAATTCTCAGTGGCTTATGGTCATAATTTTTGGTCAGATTTAGCTCTGACATTTGAAATCGTTTGTTTCTTAAATAACTATTATATTGTCATCAGGTATGCCTTTATGACAGATTGAAGTGGGCTAGTAAAGAAAAGCAGGTGGCAGAGAGAGAGGGAGTCGCAAAAAACAAACAAGGCTGGTGAAAGTAATTCTAAGTAAGGGTACTTACATGAGATGAAGTCAGTCAACTCCGCAAGCTGTAACCTTGAAAACTCTGGTTGCTGCCCCCATCTCCCTAGTCAGATGCTACCTTGTATACAGAATTTTTCAGTGGCTTCTGGTTGGGATCATTAAAGCCACCACAAGTGATTTGGTTTTGGAGTTCTCCATTTTTGTGTGGCATTAGGGCTGCAGCAAAGAGGAGAAGGCATCCCCCTTGGGATTTCAGATGAGCTTTTCTCTAGACACACTAGGTTCCATTTCTCATTGTTAATTTATGACTGTGCTAGATGTCTTTCTGTAAGCTTACTGTGTTTAAACCTTTTTATTTGAGCACACTTGGTTAAAATAAAATCCCAAGTGCCAGACACATCTTTCATAGGCAGGGCAGGGCACTTTCCAGAATGAAAGGGGCACCAGTAATTACTTTAGGGCTTTAGCCTCTGGAAGATGACTGTTAGAGTGCCTTGGGAGCCAGCAGCTTGTCCAGTTGAAGTCTCCGTCTCAGCTTTCCCCAGAACTTGGAATACTGCTTACTTTGTTGTTGTTAGTTCCCTATCTTCCTAAACCTTAATTCAAGACTTAACATTTTAATCATTCATGTTCTACATCTCAGTGGTTCAGTACACTGTTTTGGTCTTAGTGTACTATCAACTGTTTAGAATTACAAAATTGTAGAATGAAAGGTGAAAAGCAAACCTGTTTAACTAATGAGCAGCCTGCCTTTAAGAAACTGTACTTGCCTTTAAGTGTGATTGACCAATATTCATATATGTATGCAGTGCAGTGCCACCAAAACCAGGACCTAAAGAGTTTGTATGGCTCAACTTTTTTTTTTTTTTAATTCTACATCTCTTTATACAAATAGCAGATGTTTAAGTGAATGAGTGCATGCCCGTTTTAGTGCATGCCTGTTTCAGATTAATACAAAAAGGAGAGTATAGGTTTTACCAGTTAATATACTGAATGTATTCTTACAGTGTTGGGTTTTCTGTATTCTATGTTATGATCATTCACAGTAGCATTTTTCCAGTAATAATGCTTTTAAGATAAAGTAATTGTTAGAATGTTAATGTTCTTAATGCTTTTAATGTAAAAAACAAGATGTTTAGAACCTGCAGGCTTGCATTTGAAAAGCTGGTTATTAATAAGTAAAATGTGCTGTGATTTGTAAGCAAAAAGAAAACATAGTTTAAACCAATCTTATTTACAATAGTAAGTATTATAAAAACTCATATTTACTGTTAGTCTTTAATTAGTACATATCATTCTCTTTTGAGGCAGGAGAAGTGCGGTTTTTTCCAAGCATTTACGAAGATCTTTGAAAAACCTTCATTAAAACCTGGCACTTTCCCCTCTTTGTTATGTGTAGGTTTCCCAGGCAGCTGCAGACTTGAAACAGTTTTGTCTGCAGAATGCTCAACATGACCCACTGTTGACTGGAGTATCTTCAAGTACAAATCCCTTCAGACCCCAGAAAGTCTGTTCCTTTTTGTAGGAATCCTTCAGAGGTAAGTTTACTTTAAAAACAAAACAAAAAACAGTGTAGGGATGAGTAGTTAAGTTTCTTGGCACTCTAAGTTTACAGACTTTTTCTGTTTTGTAAGGAAAGTGAGGATTGATGAAACCTGGTATTTCAGTAATCAAAAACAGTTTTTTAATCATTAAAAGAATTAAATAGAGGATTTAATAATAGCATTCTTAAAACACAATTTCAGTACTGAGACAAGCCATGTGCTAATTTTTATAGTATTACCCTAAAATGGCATATAAATTTTGGAGTCCCCAAGGGATAGTTTAATTTTTGTGTATGTAACAAATAATTTAGACAGTTTTTAAAATACCTGCAATGTTTATAGGGATGATTTTTAAGAAACTAACAATTAATTTGGATTAAATCTGATGTTTCTGCTCTAATAGAACTCAGCTGTTTGGATAATACAGAATTAAGAATTGGGAATGCAAAAGAAAATCAGGAGTTGAATAAGCCAGCATGGTTTAGGCATTTGGAATATAGAGTTAAGAGTTTTACTTTTTCTCATTTGTTGGACAAAGGTAAAATGAGGAAAATGAAGTATTTGAGTTCATGGTGGCGAATAGGCAGTGGACTGGACTTCAGAGGATTAAGAAACTAATGATTTGCTAGCTTCAGTGTATTACTAAGGCATGCTGCTATATGTTAATTTGTACCTTCCAGGTCAGATGCCCTGTATGCAAAACATGTTTGTCCAAATGAGATATGACCAAAAACCTGCTTTGTATAATTTAAGGATATAATCTTTTATAAGTGCTTATTATGAGGGTATGTCAAAAAAGTTGTAGAAGAGAGGAATTAAAGGATAATTTTTGGTGCAGAAATTCTTTCTTGAATACATGGAGTTTTTTCATAATACACATTCCCCTGAACCATTTTAAGACCCCCTTCATTTGTATGGATTTCAAAATTCCGGGGGTGGGGGGGGTCCAATTACACTTGTAATTCCATTTTTTGTATGTGCTTTTTTTGAAGTGTTCTTGGAGTGCATATTCACTAGTGTTGACCCATGAATAGCAAAATTAAGCTACTGCTTTAAAAAGACTTAGGGCTGGCACTATGGCCTAACAGGTTAAGCCTCGTTCTGCATTGTTGGCGTCATATATGGGCTCCGGTTCAGGTCCCAGCTGCTCCGAATGGCCTGGGAAAGCAACAGAAGATGGCCCAGGTCCTTGAGCCCCTGCACCCACATGGGAAACCTAGAAGCAGCTCCTGGCTTCTAGGCCAGCCCCAGCTGTTGCTGCCATTTAGGGAGTGAACCAGCCGACCAAAGATCTCTTGCTTCTCCCTCTCTCTCTGTAACTCTGCCTTTCAAATAAATATATCCTTTACCAGTGGTTTGACTTAAAAAGTTCAGGAAGCTGCTTTCTTTTACTTTTTTTTAAAGATTCAGTTATTTATTTGAAAGGCAGAGTTACAGAGAGGCAGAAGGGGAGAGAGAGAAGTCTTCCATCCACTGGTTCACTCCCCAGGTGGCCACAAGGGCCAGAGCTGCACTGATCCAGAGCCAGGTGCTTCTTCCAGGTCTCCCACGCGGGTGCAAGGGCCCAAGGACTTGAGCCATCTTCTACTGCTTTCTCAGGCCATAATAGAGAGCTGGATCAGAAGTGGAACTGCCAGGATTCAAACCAATGCGCACATGGGATGCCAGGACTGCAGGCGGCAGCTTTACCCACTATGCCACAGTGCTGGCACCAGGAAGCTGCTTTCTAAAACATCTTGTTACATGGTTGTGTACTCCCCAGTAAAGCTTTGTGGACTTGGGAGTGTACAGGAAGTTATAGAATGAAATACACTGGCCCATAGTTAATTCTTTCTGGCAGTTTTTGGAAACTTTGTATTTTTACAGATTGTTTTTAACCTCAGGTCCTATTGTATTTGCCTTACGAAAGTGCAAAGTAAAGTGGTTTATTTTCATTTGACACAAAATACTGTTAAGAAGCCTGGGCAGCTGTCAGTATTTTTCTTTCTTTAAATAACTTGGTCAAGTTTACAAATATGGTTTGGATAATAATACATATTTCAAAGTAAAACAATGGATATTATTCCATTATCCCTGCAGTGTAACAAAAAAGCTTTGTGGCTATTATGATTTGAAGTAGTTTGGGTCAAGGACAGAATATTTGAATATAGAAGTATTGCTTTTTAAACTTGAACTTATCCACAAACCACCTTGTAAAATAGAACTTAGATTTCATTAGGTCTGAAGTATGGCCATAGAACTTGAATTTCTTAAAGCGCCTATGTTAAACATCTGATATCTACTGTCCTAGACATGTATAGGATATACATGGAGTTTTCATACTTGCAATACTTTGGGGATTTCATACTTGTAAATGTAGCTTTTTGTAATTAAAAATAACATGGTACAAGAAAAATAGAAATTACCATCATGCAGCACACTTAGAAATATCACTGTTAACAGAATTGCATTTCCTTATATTTTTATTTTTATTTTTTTAAATTTATCTGAAAGGCACAGTTAGAGAGAAAGCTAGAAAGAGGGAGGGAGAGAGAAACAGAGAGAGGTCTTCCATCTGCTGGTTCACTCCCCAGATAGCCACAATGGCCTGAGCTGGGCCAGTTTAAAGCCAGGAGCTTTTTCTGGGTCTCCCATGTGGGTACAGGGGCCCAATGAATTGGGCCATCTTCTGTTGCTTTCCCAGGCATATTAGCAGAAAACTGGATCAGAAGCAGAGCAGCTAGGACTTGAACCAGTGCCCACATGGGATGCTGCTGCAGGCGGTGGCTAAACCCACTATGCCACAGTGCTGGCCCACATTTCTTTTTTTTTTTTTCTTTTTTCTTTTTTTATTTTTTGACAGGTAGAGTGGACAGTGAGAGAGCGAGACAGAGAAAGGTCTTCCTTTTGCCGTTGGGTCACCCTCCAATGGCCGCTGTGGCCGGCGCACCGCGCTGATCTGAAGCCAGGAGCCAGGTGCCTCCTCCTGGTCTCCCATGCAGGTGCAGGGCCCAAGTACTTGGGCCATCCTCCACTGCAATCCCTGGCTACAGCAGAGAGCTGGCCTGGAAGAGGGGCAACTGGGACAGAATCCGGCGCCCCAACCAAGACTAGAACCCGGTGTGCTGGCGCCACAAGGCGGAGGATCAGCCTAGTGAGCTGCGGCGCCGGCCGACATTTCTTTATAATATTTTTAAAGAATAAAGGTATGTGGAGTTTTTCATTCTGCTTTATAAAAACATTTAAAAACTACCTATTTCATGAAACATTTTTCATAAAGTTCTAGTAGTTGTATCAGTTGTACTTCATTGAATATTAGAGATTTGTTTCCAAATTTGAAGCTACAGTGTGATGAAGGTCTATGCAGTGTCTTCAAAGTTTATGGAAAATAAGTATTATGAAAAACCAATATGGGTTAATTTTTGGCATCAAACATACCCCATTAAAAGTATCTTTGTGGGGCTGGTGCTGTCGCATAGCAGTTAAATTCATGGCCTGTGACACCTGCATCCCATAAGGGTGCTGGTCTGAGTCCTGGATGCTCCATTTCCAATGTGCCTGGGAAAGCAGTGGAGGATAGCCCAAGTGTTTAGGCCCCTGCACCCATGTGGGAGACCAAAAGAAGGTCCTGGCCCTGGGCCCTGGTCTTTGCAGCCTTTTGGGAGAGTGAACCAGGAGACAGAAGATCTCTCTCAGTAAATTCTGCTTGTCAAATAAATAGAGAAAGAGAGACAGACAGACAGACAGATCCTGTATCTGCTGCTTTGTTTCCCAAATGCCTGGAGCAGCTGAGGCGTGGCCAATCCAAAGCCAGGACCCCAGAACTCAGTCCAGATCTCTCATGTGGGTGGTAGGGACACAAGTACTTGAGGCATCACTGCTGTCTCACAGGGTTCCCATTAGCAGGAAGCTGCAAACGGAAGAGGTGCGGAGTCTTGAATCCAGACACTGTATATAGGATGTAGACATTTCAGGCAGTGTCTTGACAGCTGTGCCAAGTGCCCACCTTCATAAGTTCATCTTTGAATTCCCTTTTCCATGAACTTTTTGATGTGTCTTTGTATTCATATATTTATACTTTACTCCTAGAAATGGGTCAAGTTGATGAATAAGGAGTGAATATTTAGAAATACAATACTTGATCTCCACCACCCGTATTCCTTGGTCTTCCATCAGCTTTGGCTCAGCCCTTGCCCAACAAACCTTAGTTGTCCATTTGCTGTTATTCTAAGTGAGGCTAAATACTTATGGTTTTGTACCAGAGTATTTTGTTTATATCTCATGAACATTGCAACTAACCATTCTGAATTAAACACTTTAACTTATTTAAAAGAAATAAAAGTTAATACTTTTTGCCTTCCCTCTCTAGAGAGAACCTACTCTGAAGTTGGTATTTTTTTACTACATATACTTTCTGTATTTTATAGTTTGAAGTCATAATTTATTTGGTAATGAATATCTTAATTTTTTATTGTTGGTATATTAGCCATATAGATTGGCCATTTTAATAACTTTATGTATTGTATCACATATAAATGTTAGTTTATCCATTCTTCTGAGTTACATTTAGGCTGTTTCCCATTCTGTGCTATTAAAAGCACTACTGTAAAGTCCTGTACATGTTTTTTCTATGTACATTTGTTTAGGTAAATAGAAGTATCGCTGCATCTTTTACTTAACTAGATAGTGCCAAATTGCTCTCCTAAATATTCTAGCTAATTTTCCTACTGTTCAGATTTTTCTTGATTTAAAAGATTTTTGTATTAACTTTTTGAATTTGAAAAGAGTATATTTTGGCAGTAATCTTAGCAAGTTAATCTGTAAGTTGGTTTATAAAATGGAGAGTAGCTATGAAAATTAAGATGAATTTACATTTTACTGCCTACTACAGGATAGGCATTTTCCATCTTAATGCTCATTTTTTTCTTAAAAATCCCGTTGTTTTGTTTTTTAAAAACTACTGATAGGGCACAGCTTAATGTAGTTGAAAGTCCTTTATGAACTAACATTTAAATGAATCGCATTGAAAGCAGTACAGATGGTCCTTGAGTTAAATTAAGGTTACATCCATCCCAAGTTGAAAATGCATTTAATACACCTAACCTCTACTGGACATTATAGTTCAGCAACACAATATAGAATACTGTTATTGTGTGACTACCTGGAGGCTTTATACCACCAGTCCAGAAAAAGATGTAGATTCAAAACTTGAAGTATGGTTTGTATGGAACATATATCACTTTGGTATCATAAGTCTGGATTGTACTGTCTTGCATAGATGTGCCATGTTCAGAAAAGTAGGTAAAGACACGAGCAATTTGTAAGAAACTGCAGTTAGACAGGATTACTCATGAAAAGTTTTTTAGAAACCATGCTCTTTGCTATTTTACCCTAATTCATCTTTTTCTCCCCCACCTATTTCAGGGTTCCTGAACCACTTCTCATTAACCGGTGAATATTCATTCATTCAAGAGAGCTAAATTTGAAGCCTGTACAAAAGCTTCCTTTAACATGTGCCATAATATACAAACTTCTACTTTTGTCAGTCCTAACATCTACCTCTCTGAATTTTCATGAATTTCTATTTCACAAGGGTAATTATTTTATATACACTGGCAGCAGCATACAATAAAATACTTAATATAAAAGTGTTGTCCTTTATTAATCTGTCTTAAACACCTTGGGGTTAAGTTTTTTGTATTTGCTCCACCAACATTTAGAAACTTGATATGGTATGAATTTGTAGACTACCAGGAAATTAAATGTAAGTTGCAAAGGATGAGGCTTTTTTAAGTTCTGCAGTTTCTATTCATGAATTTATTTCAGTGCAAAAATGTTTTGGCTTTTCATCTTTAGGATTAATTTTGTAACATATTTTTTTTTCTTTTTTTAAAGATTTATCTTTATTTATTTGAAAGACAGAGTTAGAGAGAGACAGAGAGAGGTTCACTCCCCAGTTAGCCACAATGGCCGAAGCTATGCTGATCCGAAGCCAGGAGCCAGGTGTCTCCTCTGGGTCTCCCACGTGGGTGCAGGAGCCAAGGACTTGGGCCATCCTCCACTGCTATCCCAGGCCATAGCATAGAGCTGGATCAGAAGAGGAGCAGCTGGGACTAGAACCGGCACCCAATTGGGATGCCGGCGCTTTAGGCCAGGGCTTTAACCCACTGTGCCACAGCACCCATGTAACAGATACTTCAGATGAACTCCTTTTAGGGGTATTACTGATTGTACCTAAAAATAAGTTACTTTGTAACACATAGCTTTGTTAACAGGAACAGTTAGAGGCTGAAATAATTTCATTAGCAAAAGTAAAGAACTTAAATCCCTCAAGTACTATGTGTAATGAGCTACAAAGAAAAGATTAGCTTCAGTTTTGAAACTTTCCTTCAAATCCTGATCAATCATTTTGCTTTATATCTTCTACCATTCTGAAAGGTTTAAAGAATGTTAAAATATTCCAGAAACCTTATCTCCGGTTTCAAACTATGTGCCAGATACTGGATCCAAGATTAATCTAGCATAGTATCCATCAACCACTTTATCTCCAGCCCATATGCTCTTTGAAAATGCAAATGAAAGTTAAATTTAGATTTAATTCAATCTGACTCATGGCTATTATGAAACAAAAGGTTTATTAAACCTAAGTGACTTACATTTACTATATAAACAATGGCAGTCCAGGGTACTTGGTCATTTTTGTCCAGACATGAAAGGGAGTTTTTGAAATCAGTAAATGCCATTTTGAAAAGGGTATTCCATCAGAAATAATTTACCAAGTTCAAGATAGGCCTGTTCAGCAAAATCCAAGTTATCCCCTCAGTACTTTACAAATGAAATTTTCTTCTACTTGTATCCATTTCCCGGGGCTGAAAAGGAAAAAATGAACTACTCAGATAACACAATAAAATTAACTTTTCTTAGATCTTTATAAGTAACACTAGTTCTGAAAAACACTTGGAGTTTGAGACCCTAAATATTCTACTTAAGGACTAATATAAAAAGTTTTGTCAGTTGTTATTCCATGTGTAAGTGCATAATTATAAATAAATACTACTTTAAAGAAAATGATTCATTAATTTGAAGTCAGTTACAGGGAGAGAAGGATAGATCCATCTCCTGGTTGACTCCTCAGATGGCTGCAACTTTTCAGGTTTGTGCCAGGTTGAAGCCAGGAACTTCATCTGGGTCTCCCACATGGGTGCAGGGGCCGAAACACTTGGGCCATTCATTGTCTGCTGCTTTTCCCAAACCATCATCAGGTGGCTGGATGGGAAGCAGGGCAGTTGTGACACAAACCAGCACCCTTATGGGATACTGGCCTTGCAAGCTGAGACTTTACCTGCTAGGCCACAATGCTAGCCCCCAAAATGTACTTAAGTGAACTACACACCAGATGGAAAACATTCTCTAATAATATTTACATTTAAGGTGATAATCTGTAGTCTTGTGTAAAGCCTCTTGCAATAATTCTCAGGAATACTTAAAATGAACCAGATACCAAAGCAGATCTGTTCTTTCTAACTTATGGGGCAGTAATTCAGTAGTATGAATTAAAACATGAACACTCAAAGTTTAAAGCACCTCGTTGTCTTCTCATTCCATACTTTTGAAATGAATTTTAAATAGTAAGGGCATACCTTATGGACCCATTCATATTCTCCATATTTAGAATCAAAGGTTCCTTTCTGAAGAGATCTTAATTTTAAGGTAAAACGTGGTCCAAGTTCCTGAATTCCTGCTTTCTTTTCACTCTTGAATATGTATCTTTAAAGACAAATTAAAACTAGAAATTAGTCTCAATGAACCCAATTGTCATTTCTTTAATATTATAAGCATTTCTACTCTTCAGTATTTGTCACAATATATTAGAAACCTGTATGTTAGAAAGTTTTCACATTGAAAACAAAGTTCATGATGGAAGTCAAAATCCAAGTTAAAAATTCCTTCCTCACCTGTGAAATCTGAAGAAGATATAATCCCGCTGATTATGGAATGTAGCAACTTGCCTTCCAATAAACTGAGGATTATGGGGAAAGAGAGAAGCAAACATACGACCAATAGAATGACCTAGCCGTGTTGTAAAATTATTCAGAATTATTTCAGGTCTGTGTTCTGTGGGGTCCTTGCCTCTTCTCTAGAAAAAATACAATAATGAATTAGGCTAATTAGCAAATAACACATCTTGATGCAATTTCAAGTATTGGAATTTACATAATTTTTTAATTTTTGTGAATGGCAAGCTACCACAGATTTACCAAATTGATGGATAAAGATGTATCAGTTACTTTAATAGGCTATGGACAGAGCAGGAAAGTCTAGAAAACCAACATGTTTTGTGGTATTGACTATTCCTATCCACCACAACCTTAATCCATAATCCCACAAGAAAACTGCTTTGATTAGGAAAACAAGTGGCTATTATTAAAATCAATTAGGTCTGTATGACAATCAAAAACCTTGTGAACAGTGCCAAAGAAGGAACACATAAAACTCACCTTAATTTCTTTACGAAGACGAACACTGCTCATTTTAAAATGAGCAGTTGGACCATTTGGCAAGTGACTCAAAATCAGTCCATCTGTTTATGAAAGTTAAGAAAACACATTAAAGTTTAACTCATGTTTATGTAGTGGCAGGCATTTGTTGCAGTGGTTATGATGCCACTTAGGACTCCGGTATCCCATGATGGAGAGCCTGGGTTCAAGTCCTGACTCTGCTTCAGATCCAGCTTCCTGCTAATGCACACCCTGGGAGGCAGAAGGTGATGGCTGAAGTATTTGGGTTCCTGCCATCCATGTGAGAGTCTGAGTTCCTGGCTCCTCTCTTTGGCCTGGCCCAGACTAAACTGTTGTAAGCATTTTAGGGAGTCAATCAGTAGAATGGGAGATCTCCCTCCCTCTCTGCTTTTCAAATAGGTAAAAAATTTAACTGATCCTCTATCAGCCCTTCAAATCAGTAGCTAAGTGAATAGCTGGATGCATGTATTCCACTGGGTTAAGTATTCCTAGCATACCAAACAGAAAACATGTAACATAAATTTTTAAGAAAATACATTAGTCCTTTTTTTTTCTTTTTACAACATAATACATAGTTTTAATAGAGTATCTGAGTTTTCAAAGTAGATGAAAAAGCTATTTAATGACCACTACTCAACCAGGGATAGGAAAGGATGAGATCCTAGAATGATGTAGCATTGTCAATACAGGTTTATCTCCATGTTCAGAAGACTTCTAGCCCTACAAATACCACCTTCATGTTTGTATGGTTAGGGTATGCTTTAAATATTGCCCCAAAGGGGCTGGAGTCATAGTGCAGCAGAGAAAACCATGACCTGGCTGCTCCACTTCCAATCTGGCTCCCTGCTAATGGCCTGGGAAAAAAAGCAATGGAAAATGGCCCAAGTGCCTGGGCCCCTGCTACCCACATGGGAGACCTGGAAGAAGCTCCCAGCTCATGGCTTCGGCCATTGTGGCCATCTGGAGAGTGAATTAGGGGGTGGAAACTCCCTCATCTCTCCCTCTCTCTGACTTTCAAATAAATAAATCTTTAAAAAAATAAATATCACCAACAGCAGACTCCTAAATGCTCCTGAAATCAAGGTTATTAATAGTTCTGAAAAGATAAGCTCTTAGAATTACTGTCCCATAAATTATAATCAACTGATTAATAACCATTTACTACTATGATCAGATAATTAGGCTAAAATAAATACAGGATACCTACCAACAATCATCAAGTTTCACTGCCCAAAAGCTCTCAAAATTCTGGCTGCAGCAAACTGAAGATTACTCCCTAAACACTGCTCAAACTTCACAACATGAAACACCTTTATTTTCTCAATGAATAACTTAAGGCTCTTATTTTACAGCACTATAAGCAGGCAGAACTGACAGCAGTAGACTTTTTAATTCATAGTATGCTTTTCTAGATTAAGAAAAATTTTCAAACATCTGATTCAGGAACAGCATTAATGTTGCTCAGAATGAAAACTGTTTCTCAAGTCTATATGAACATAATCTGTTTTACAAAACAGATGTTGCTATTTTTGGTTATCTTCAACTTCTCCATCTCTCACTAAATCTTAACTGCTTTTCTTTTCACAAGTTCTCTTTTTACCCTTCAGCTTCCTTTTTACCCTTACCATTAGAGTCTTTGTTGAAGGCCTGTGGATTTTTCCATCTAAATTATTAAAACAGTATACTGATTGGTCCTATTTTCTCTCTCACCATTTCAAGTATATCATCTACAAGAGGCTGTAAATCAAATCTGGAGTTAGGCCTTGGTTCTGTAAGTAATCAGCTATGGGATTTGGCTGTTATATCTGTACCATGGATTCTCATGTGCTAAGTGAAAAACTAGATTTCTTTCATTGTCGTGCCACAGATTCACCCATACTAAGACATAAGTATGGCACTCTTGGGTACAATCTACTGTTCTAACCTGTTTTTTTTAACCCTGTGGCCCCCAAAGCTGTTTTGCGGATATTCACAATTTCATGTACTGTATATGTTAGTATCATGCATTTTTTGCTCAAGCGATTTCAAATACTTGTATTATTTATCTGTTAAGGCTCACTTCAAATTCCACCTCATTTTACTCAGGATTAGGGTTCTAATTAAATGTTAAGTTAATTAGCATAACATTTATCACTTAAATTTGAGTTACAATTATGACAATCCCTTTCTTAACTGATCTGTTCACTTTTGGAAATAGATCTGTTTCTTACAGATATTACTGCTTACCACATGGCAGATTACCATTCTTCCCCTTTTTAAAGATTTTCCCCAGATTCATCTTAATGAAGTAAGCCGAGACAATCTCTATCACTTGCACATGTGAAAATCATAAAATATTCACAGGACTAGGAGATATAAAAGTCATTTCTTCCAACCAAAATCAAGGCTTGACTCCTTTCTGCAACATTCACACTAAGTTGTGGTTTGTGTTGAAAGCAAAGCACAAATCCCAAATATATCAGTTTCTATGTAACTTGCTTTCCTGAGTACTCCCATTTTTTTTTTTTTTTTTTTTTGGACAGGCAGAGTGGACAGTGAGAGAGAGATAGAAAGGTCTTCCTTTGCCGTTGGTTCACCCTCCAGTGGCCGCCATTTGCCCGGTTGCCCCTCTTCCAGGCCAGCTCTCTGCTATGGCCCAGGAATGCAGTGGAGGATGGCCCAAGTGTTTGGGCCCTGCACCCCATGGGAGACCAGGAGAAGCACCTGGCTCCTGCCTGCGGATCAGCGCAGTGCGCTGGCCACAGCGGGCTAGCTGCAGCGGCCATTGGAGGGTGAACCAATGGCAAAGGAAAACCTTTCTATCTCTCTCTCACTGTCCACTCTGCCTGTAAAAAAAGCACCCACACACACCTAGATATCTTTTATGTGATTTCTTATTTCAAAACAGAAATAAATACTTTTGAGTTTAAATGACACATTCAACTCAGAACTGAGACTCACAGAAAAAGTTTCAGATTGTCACTGGCCGCTGAAACACTACCAATCAGCTTAAATCCCTACCTCAAAAACAATCCTGATACCACCTCTGACAATATAATATCTAGCCATGCTAAAATACACGCAGATCCCTAACTGGGTCTGCCCTTTCAAGTCTCTATCTTTCCAAACAGTTCTCCCACTGCCCGAGCACCCTTAATCTGCATTATTAAACTCTCACCCTTATCTTCCTGAACCCAGTTAAGAGCTTCTCCCTCTCCCTGATATCCTAAAGTGCTGTTTTACCAGAAACAGGATTTCTACTATGTCCTACATTTCTCTCTTCAATTGTTTAAGCCATACTATATTTTATTAACTTAAAACTGTTCACTGACATTTTAATTCATTTAATTGGTCCTTTTTAGATGACCAAATTTATTTAATCCAACAATGAATAGATAAATCTATTTAATCCAACTATAAATTCTTTGACTATCTCTTATCTCTGCATCTTTTATTAAGCATTGAAACAGTTTCTTGACTGGAGCATATAACTGATAAATGATGAATAAAAAGGAAAAAATTGATTTCAAGAGTCTTAGACAGATATATAATGTCACCTTCAGAACTAATGTGCTCAAGAAAGCTTGACCTGATTGTTGACAGACAGTTAACTACTGTTACTTTTTACTGTGTATATCCCTATGGTTTTGTTTTGTTGGTTGTTTTTCTTTTCTCTTTTTCCTCTGTTTTCTTTCTCTCTCTCATCTACCTCACACTGTGGCCTAACTCTCTATGTAACACAGAGTTAATTGTATGTATTTTAAAGCAATTGGAAAAGATACCAGCTTAAAAAAAAAAGGGAGGGAATAAGAGATGGAGGAGGTAGTCTAAAACTGTAAAACAAGTATAGTTATGCATACAAGCATATAGACTCACCTCTAACAGTACAGCCTAAGAACTAATCATGGGGCTCCAAACCCATAAGAACCGGTGGTATAAACACCATCTTCAATGTTATAATGATAAACTTAAGTATTAAAGGCAACAGACAGACCAGTCTAAGTTTATAAGGGACGACATAAATAACATCAAATAAATTAAAAAAAAAAGTAAAAATAATAGAATTAAAAAAGGAAGGAGGGGCCAACATGGGAAGCAGTCTGCACAGTAGACTCCTAGAATGACTTTCGCAGTAAATAACACTCTGACCTCAGAATCAACCCATAAGGCTTCCTGGTCAGGCTGAAAGGCCTGCAAGAGCATCTCAGGCATGGAAACCAAGACTCTGCGGAAAAAAAACCAACCCTACACAGAGGATCTCTGCGAGACCTCAGAGGAAAGAAAGGGTCATCAAAGAAGGCGATACTCTTCTCTAAAGGGATAGGAGAACATCCTCTTTGCTTATGGCTGTGTCCAAGTAACAACGGAGTCTATCGTCACAAAAAAGCCTCCATAGCCCTGGCAGCTCACGACAAGCATTGGGTGATGCTGGCATCAAACACAAGTGTTAATTGTTAAAGGAACAACAGCAGTCAATGTGCACTTGCTCCCCAGGTAGGACCTTATTCTTAATATATATAACCATTGGGGCACTCCCCAAATGCTCACAAATAGCTGAGGTTAGCCTGGGCTGGAACCAGGAACCATGAACACAATCCGTATGTCGCATGAGGGTGGCAGGAACCCAATTACTTTTGAGCCATCCCCATTGCCTCCCAGGGTCTGCATTGGTAAGAAGCTGAGTTAGAAATCAAACCAAGTACCCTGATGTGATACATAAGCATCTTAACTGCTAGGCTAAATGCCTGCTCTTTAAAATACATTTTTAAAGGGAGTGAGGGAAGGTACAGAAATGCCTCCTTAATGAAAAAAGGAAAACTTCTTTAATATTACAATAATAATAAAAAGGATACTTGGTGTTTTACGATCTTCATTAATAACAATCAGATCTGTGAAATCTCTTGAAATGCACTGTGGAATAATTTTTTTCAGAGCCAGTCCTCTTCTGTAATAAACATGTGAGTTTGGTATAACTGTGGAGAGCTGTTCACAAAGTTTTACTGTTCTCTGTAAAACAAAGCAACAAAAATTCTCAAGAGACAGAATAAAATCTCACATGGTATAATATTAATTATGAAAGAAACAATGATGATTATAAGCCAGTGCTATTTCTGAAAGCAAGATGGGAAAAAAATGAAATCTAACAATGTTTCATCTTTTACCAAAGGTTGATCGTCCCAAAGCAGTGGTTCTCAACCAGGGGTGATTTCGCTGCACCAATGGCCATATAACAATGCCCTAAAGACAGTTTTGGTGGTTATGATTGGTGGCAGATGGTTGGTAATAGGTAGAGGCCAGACATGCTGATAAACATCCTATAATGAAGAGGATAGCTCACTAGAACAAAGAATTATTTAGCCCATAATGTTAATAGTGCTGAGGTTGAGAAAGCCTATCTAGAAGAATCATGGTTAATTTATCTATATCATATCACCAGTACATTTAGCTTATTCAATTCCATTCTATAAGGCAGTTAAATAATTAACTCTTCTGAGCAGAATACTTTAAACTGTAGAACTAATGTAAGAAAATTAAGAACTTAAGAGCTACACTAATCAATTTGTTTACCCCATGAGGTCTATCTGATGTTGTGATGAGAATCTTGGGAGAAGTTTGTCTGTTGAAGTAAGAAGCAAATTCATCTGTAGCTTCATCATAAGCAACCTAAGAAGAGAGATGAGAGATAATTTTACAACAAATACTTTACTAGACCAGATTTTTATCTTCTTTCTTTCTTTCTTTCTTTCTTTCTTTCTTTCTTTCTTTCTTTCTTTCTTTCTTTCTTTCTTTCTTTCTTTCTTTCTAGATTTATTTATTTATTTGAAAGTCAGAGTTACACAGAAGGAGGGAGGGAGGGAGAAAGTGAGAGAGAGAGAGAGAGAGAGAAGAGAGAGGTCTTCCATCTGATGGTTCACTCCCCAATTGGCTGCAACGGCTGGAGCTGCGCCATTCCGAAGCCAGGAGCCAGGAGCTCCCTCCGGGTCTCCCACGCGGGTGCAGGGGCCCAAGTACTTGGACCATCTTCTACTGCTTTCCCAGGCCATAGCAGAGAGCTAGATTGGAAGTGGAGCAGCCAGGTCTTGAACCAGTGCTTTAAGCCAGGATGTTAACCCACTGTGCCACAGCACTGGCCCCCAGATTTTTCCCTGGCCTTCAGTGCTGGCATCCATATGGGCGCTGGTTCAAGTCCCAGCTGCTCTACTTCCGATCCAGTTTCCTGTTAATGGCCTGGGAAAGCAGCAGAGATGGCCCAAGTACTTGGGCCCCTGCACCCAAGTGGGAGGCCTGCAAGAAGCTCCTGTCTACAGATTGGCTCAGCTCCAGCTGTTGCAGCCATTTAGGGAGTGTACCAGCAGATATGGAAGACCTCACTCTCTGTCTCTACCTCTCTATATTATTCTTTCAAATAAAAAATAAATAAATATTTAAAGGAAAAAAAAGAGTAAGAGAGAAAGATCTCTCATCTGCTGATTCACTTCCAAAATGCCCATGAAAGTCAGGGCTGGGCCAGGCCAAAGCCAGAACTCAAATTAGGGTCTCCCTATGGGAGGAAGGAACACAACTCCTTGAGCCACCACCTGCTACCTCAAACCCAGGTGCTCTGATATAGAACATGAGCATTCCATGTGATGTCTTAACCATCAAGCCAAATGTCTCCCACTGGTCCAGAATTTTAAAGGATTCTGACACTGATTACCTAGCTGGTAGGGCATTTACAAAAGGACTGGTATTAATGGCAACATGAAAAGGTTGGATGATTTCCCATCTGCAGGATACAAGTATAAAACTGGACAACGTCAGATACTTCTAGAGTACAGTCATATGCTGAATCATGGTGCTCCGGTCAACTATGGACTATATAAGTAAGTGATCCTCTAAGATACAAAGGAGATGAAAAACTCACACAGTGAGGTTGAAGCACAATGTTGGTATAAACAAACTAAGGCTTTGGCAGTTGTATAAAAGTATAACACATATAATTATGTATAGTATGTAATACTTGAAAAGAAATGACTGTCACTGATTTATATATTTACTACAGAGTATACTTATTAGGAAATAAAGCTTACAGGGCAAGCATGCTGTGTTATGTAGCAGTAGCCACCTGTCTCATGTTTATTGTAGTCTTTTGTCTGCATCATTTTCTCTCGTGCTTGTTTAATCTAAAGTTGTTCATCGTGGCTCTGGAAGAAATCGACTACACCACTTTTATATATCTGTAGCCTTGGTGCACTGTAGGCTCCATCTAGGTCTATATAAGCAACCTAAAGATGTTTGTACAATGATGAAATCAGCTAAAGACTCATTTCTCATAATGTATTCCTTTTGTTAAGTGATGCATGACTGTACATGTAGAGGGAGTCCCAAAGGGGGCAGATATAGCTGAAGAAATAATGGCTGGAAATACCCCAAACCTGATGAAAAATATTAGCATACAAGTCCAAGAGCTCAATAAATTCCAAGGAGGATGAAAAGAACAATACCTAAACATCAGAGCCAAACTGCTAATCGTTAAAAGCTGAAACAGTTCTGAAATAACATATAGGGAAACACTGATAATTAGTGGAAATAAGTGGTTAAAATGCAGTGGAATTGTATGTTCAAAGTACTAAAAGGAAAAAAGGACAATTAAGAATTTTATATCTTGCAAAATTATCTTTTAAAAATGAAGGCGCAGACAGGCAGGCAGGCATTATGGTACAGGGGTTTAAACCACTTCTTGGAACTCCCTTCTCCCATATCAAAGCACAGGCTTGAGTCCCGGCTACTCTGCTTCGGATCCAGTTTCCTGTAAATGCATAATGCAAAGCAGCAGATCATGGTTCATGTGCTTGGGCCCCTGCAACCCATGTGGAAAACCAAGATGGAGTTCCAGACTCCAAGGTTTTGGCCTGGCACAACCCTAGCTATTGCAGGCATTTGGGGAGTGAACCAGCAGATGCAAGTTCTCTTTATTGCTTTGCCTTTCAAGTATATGAAAAAAAAATTGGGGGGGCCAGCATTGAGGTGCAGTGGGTAAAGCCATGACCCACAATGCTGGCATCCCATATGTATAACAGCTTGTGTCCCAGCTGCTCCACTTCTGATCCAGCTCCCTGCTAATGCCTTAGGTAAAGCAATGGAAGATGGCCCAAGTGCTGGATGTTGTGACAATCTGGGGAGTGAACCAATGGATCAACAATCTCTTTCTGACTCTCAATATCTCTCCGCAACTCTGACTTTCAAGATAAATAAATAAATCCTTAAAAAAATTTTTTAAATGAAGACAAAAGAAGCATACTTTCACATAAACAAAAACTGAGATAGTAGTTGCTATTAAATCTGCTATAAAAACAAAGACGAAACGAAGTCCTATAAGCTAAAAGAAAATGACATCAAACAGCAACTGAGATCCAGAAGATGGAAAGAAGAAAACTGTTAATTGTAAACAGGTAGATAAATATAACACTATATGTGTATGTACATAATTCTTCATTTCTTTTAAAAAACATGAGGTTGTTTAAGCAGAAATTATAACACTAAGTTTACAGCACATAAAAATGTAGTGTATATGATAATAAGACAAAGGTAGAGGAACAAAACTGTATTAGAACAAACCTGCCATATTTACCAGAACTGTGTCAGAATTTTTTTTTAAGTTAATTGTGATACAGATGCAGTTTGCAATTCCTAGAGTGACCAAGAACTCAATTGTAACTTTAAAAATGAAGAATAAAAATGGCATACTAAAAAATATTTAGTACCAAGGATATCAACCCAGGAGAAACAGGAAAAATAGATACAAGATATTTTGAGATCAGAGCAAAATGGTAGACGTATATCAATAACCAACTTAAAATGTTTGTCACACTGAATAAAAAAGCAAGATCCAACCAGATGGTATCTGTAGGTGATATAACCTAAGTACAAAGATGTGAACTGGGGGTGGGCACTGTGGCATTGCAGGCTAAGCCACCCCTGAGACTGGGATGCTGCATATGACATGAAAGTACCTAGGGGATGAGAAACTTGGGTTCCTGCCATCCACATGGGAGCCCAGATGGAGTTCCTGACTCCTGACTTCAGACTAGTCCAGCTTTAGCTATTGTGGGCATTGGTGGAGTAAACCAGAGAATGGAAGATCAATCTCTCTCTCTTCCCCCCTCTCCCTTACAAATAAATAAATAAATCTTACAAAGATGTAAGTTAACAGTAAAAGCATTTTTAAAAAAGGATGTATCACGCAGTCAGTAATGAGAGTTTAAGGAGTTACATGGACATTAAACAAAATAGACATTTAAAAAAAGAAATACTGCTAGAGACACGGAATTCTATTTATGGAATAAATACATGGAATTTATATTGGGTTAAAGGTAAATACATCCAGAAGATGTACTTATAATTATGTAATTATGTGTATATAAAGTTAGAATTATAAAAGTATATGTACCCAACAAAAGAATCCTCAAATATGTGAAGCAAAAACTGAAAGGAACAGAACAATCCAGCTAGTTAAAGATCTCGGGCCGGCGCCGCGGCTCACTAGGCTAATCCTCCGCCTAGCGGCGCCGGCACACCGGGTTCTAGTCCCGGTCGGGGCGCCGGATTCTGTCCCGGTTGCCCCTCTTCCAGGCCAGCCCTCTGCTGTGGCCAGGGAGTGCAGTGGAGGATGGCCCAGGTGCTTGGGCCCTGCACCCCATGGGAGACCAGGAAAAGCACCTGGCTCCTGGCTCCTGCCATCGGATCAGCGCGCTGCGCCGGCCGCAGCGCGCCGGCCGCGGCGGCCATTGGAGGGTGAGAACCAACGGCAAAGGAAGACCTTTCTCTCTGTCTCTCTCTCTCACTGTCCACTCTGCCTGTCAAAATAAAAAAAAAATGATCAAAGATCTCAATTCTTCTTGCTCAACAACTAATAGAACTTGATAAAAATTTAGAAAGAATATACAAGATGTGAACAATACTATCAACCAACTCCAACCAACTCTGACATTCATAACAACGCATCCCAACAAAACACATGTTTTGAAATAATTCTCACATACATAATAATCCATCCTCAAAACAGAAAAATACACCTTTTCAAAAGCTACACAGATCTTCTCAGAATAAACAATAGAGCAAAGACAATGTCTTGGAAAGGACTTAAATCAAACAGAGTGCTCTATGTTCCACAATTAAGTTAGAAAGTGATGGTAAGAAAAATCTGGAAAGTTCTCAGACATTGGCAATTAAGCAATGCACTAAATAATGAGCCAGACAGAGTGTATTGTTCACTGATGGATATCAAATCCCTAAAACATTATCTTAATGTTTAAAATATTCAATACTTAGGCAATCAAAAAATATTTGCTGGAAGACTGAATGAATTAACATTGGGTTGTACGAGGATGTATGTTAAAAAATAGTGTTTAAAAGCAAACTAACAAACATTACCAAACCAAGTTTCCTTTAGAAAAAATTTGAAAATATACAAAGTTTTAAAATCTCAATTTTTTTCTCACTGCACTGTTACAAACTTCTAAAGAGAGAAAACATGCAAAGGGAAAATTATTTTGAAACCAAGAGTTTTATGAAGACATCAAAAAATCATCAAATGTTACCCTTAGGTTATCAAAATGTCTAACAAATACTATAAAAATCTATGGTATGAGAAATTCTTTTAAAACCTTAAAGTTTATCTAGGTATAAAATACATTTCCAGAGAAATAAGTATTTACCACATTTTTCCTATAGCATTATTGAGAATTTCTATTATGAAATAATCTATACCAAACAAAAAGATATACAGACATCACATCTGAATCAATCCATTATACAACTTTTCCAGCCAACGCTTTAAATATAAACAATATCAACATATAATCTATCCAGTGTGATCATTCCAATTCACTTAAAACTTTTAACATTACCTCTTCATCATTAGGGTCTACTATGGTTTCATCATACATGCGCTGGTTGTCAATGGTCTTGGGTACAGGCTTTGGTGGAGCCTAAATACAAGAGAAAAGAAATCTAAAAGAATCTATAAGAAAGAACAGAAATCCATCCATAGGACAAACAATCTGATTCTCATTTCAACCCACTGCTACTGCTTACACTGATCCTAATAATATTAAATAAGAGGCTTTTTAATCTGGGCAGAAACATACATTCACTGGAAGAATGACTAACTTTGAGTTTGGCAAAAGTAGCAGAGAGAAGAAAGAGGAATCAAGATAATTATCCACTAAGGAGAAAAATAACAAACATTTTAAAAAAAAGAAGAAAAAATATAATGGAAATAGCAGAATCACTATTCATAATGTAAATAAACAGCAAACAGCACATCAATAATGACTGGAATACTGTTACAATCAGCAATCATGCAGACTCAACCTGCATAAATGAACTATATTAAGGAGCAGGAAAACAGAACTATAAGAATAGAGTATGTATCTTGAAAGAGAGGTATACTACTAGAGAAATGGAAAAAACATGAACTGATAACCATTTGGGATTTTTTTTTATTACACTATGAAACAAACATTAAGTTTTAAATAATTTTTTAAGAGACATAGTTCAAGGAAGTCATCCTTCAGTCCAAAAAATAAGAATGGTAATATTTTCAAATGGTGATCAACTTGTTCACTTGCTGTAACTGATCAGAGTTTCTGTACAAATATATAGTCTTTATTTATTTCCTCTCCTCAAAAAACACTAATTCTTATTTGGTTCCTTGTATTAACAGATATGAATTGGGGAGTTGAACATTTTTTTTTTTTTTTGACAGGCAGAGTGGACAGTGAGAGAGAGAGACAGAGAGAAAGGTCTTCCTTTGCCGTTGGTTCTCACCCTCCAATGGCCGCCGCGGCCGGCGCGCTGCGGCCGGCGCAGCGCGCTGATCCGATGGCAGGAGCCAGGAGCCAGGTGCTTTTCCTGGTCTCCCATGGGGTGCAGGGCCCAAGCACCTGGGCCATCCTCCACTGCACTCCCTGGCCACAGCAGAGGGCTGGCCTGGAAGAGGGGCAACCGGGACAGAATCCGGCGCCCCGACCGGGACTAGAACCCGGTGTGCCGGCGCTGCTAGGTGGAGGATTAGCCTAGTGAGCCGCGGCGCCAGCCTAGTTGAACATTTTTAAAATTTGCAAGTGTAGACTGTAACCTGGGAGTAACTACTAACAAAATGTAACAAAATGAAAATTACCTAGCTATACAATAAATAATATTTATTTAGTAGTTCTTTTAGAAGTTTTCAACAGAAAGAGTTCACTTAATATCACAAAAACAACCAAGTCTTTTCTTGATATTTTCTCCACTTCTCTTTGCCATAATCCAACCAGGTCTCACCCTGCTTCTCCTCCCATTCTCGTTCTTCACAGGTTCATATCGTCTGTGTCAGCTCTCATTCTTACTAAGCTCATTCTACTACAGATGAAGCTCTGTCCTGTCTTTCTCCTGACAAAGAGCCTTGCTTTAAGTTACAAAAACTGAAACATTAGGCCTAAACTGGGAAGATTCCCCTTTCCCAAAGCTAGGGGGTGGTGCCTCTTCCTTTCAGAAATATCACATGTGAAATGCCACCACTGTGCTTATTGTTCAGATACAGAAATGCATTAGTACAAATATAAAACAGTGCATAAGAAAAATAACTTCCTATTAGTGGGTATGTCTGGAAGGGAAAGCAATCAGGAAAAACTGACAAGGGCATCCCAATGTTATTTGCTAATGTATTATTTCTTAAGCTGAGTAAAAAATATAAAGGGAGTTGTTACATAATTTTTATAACTTTTTATACATGTGAAATATTTCATAAACTTTAGAAGTCACTGAAAATACAATTAGGAAGTATTCCTTAATGTAAAACAGAAAGCAGATGGCAAAAAATTTATTTACCTTATCACCAAGAGCCTCTCTCTGTTTTTTAAGTTTTTTCTTAGCTGCCAACTTTTCCTAAAAGTTTGAAAACAAAATATTGAAAAACCACCAGTTACATCACATACACACCAAAACTACCAACTAGTAATGCTATGTGTATTTAAATTAGGTAATCTTTATGATATAATAACATAGCCACCTGGACAAAGATTTTATACCTAAACGGTAAGCCAAACATGTTGGTCAATAAAATCTGAGATCTTGCACCTTAACAAAATCTAAATTGGTAAGTTTCAGCATTTAAAATTTCACTAGCATTAGCTCTTACTATAAAGCAAGTTAAATTAAAGAAAATGTAAAATGTAAACTAGCACAGTTGTTTTGTTTTACCAAGCTGGTTGTTTTTCTGTAAGGCGCTAAAAATGAAAAGAAACACAAGATGGGTTTTCAGGTTTCCGATAAAGCCAACGCTAGTTATCCACATACCAAATCTGTTTTTACTATCAGTAAGAACTTGCGATGTTGGTTATGATTATTTGTACTGTAAAGTATCTTCTGGAGATTTCTAAACAGAATGCTTGACATCCTTGATGTCTCTAGCGTCTCCTGACCCTCAACCCATCAAGCCAGATTAGAAATCACAGTGTTGTCTTCTAAGACATCCCGCATCCTGGTAGGGTCAGATACCCCTTGTATGTACTCCATTAGCACCTACACACTTAACGGTGAGTAGAATCAGTCCAGGGCCCCTACAGTCTAGTGAAAGAGGGCAGGCAAATATAAAGGATATTGTGTGTGAACTTCCAGCGTACTCAATGATGATTAAATGCTTTCCTCTCGTTGAAATTTAACCAGAATTGAGCACTGTGACTTCGGGCAAGTCATTTTAAACATTTCCACTTTTCAGTTTATCCTTAACCTCCCAGAATAATATGAGGGAAAGGTTGCAAAGAACAAATCCAACCACCAGCCCAGTCCACATTACTAATATAATCAAGAGCTGTTCGGACTTGCTATGTACTGTCTATATTACAGATTCTCAAAATTCATCAACGTCGTGTAGAGTGGCAAAGCGGGGGACCGAGACCCTGGTCTCTCGCGTCAAGAGCGGGTACTCTCCACTAGGAGAGCAGGACTGCCGGCTTTCCTTTCGCGGAGAGGCCGCCACGGAAGGGAAAACTCCACCCTGAGGCTCAAACGGCTGAACATGCAGTTCCCAAAGTCCAGCGAGAGCGCCATGACAGGAGAGCTGGAGGCACCCTTCCGGACAACCCTTCGGGCGCAACTGGCACCCGCTCGTGTCCCCCGGGAAGAGACGAAGACGCCTGAACGCTCCCCGCTTCCGTCCCGACCACGCGCGAGCCGCCTCGCGCACGCGCCCCGGCCGCTTCCGCCCGTCGCCTACCTTGCGCTGCTGCTGTTTCCACCGCGTGAACATTAAGTGTCGCCGCTGTTTGTTCTTAATCTCGGAAATGCTGAAACCTGGGGGAAACGCAGCCGCTTTCGCGGGCTGAACCCCACTTTCTGTCGCCTCATCCCCAGCGACCGTAGCCTCCTGCGGTTCTTCGGTAACGGCTTTCCTTTTCAGATTTTTCTTCCCTCCACTGCCGGTCTTATCCGCGGCCTTCGCCATTTTTCTTTGGTTCTTTGCGTCGGCACGGAAGCGGAAGTAATATTTCTTTGAGCCCCGCCTTACAGGTTTACTTCCGGTGTCGCGAACTTGGGAGGAAAAAGAAAAACCTTAGTGACCTTTAGCTATTTTAGAAGATTGTAAAACCGAGGGTTGAAAGACTTTTAGGTGACTTGCCCAGCTGTGTGAACAGCGAGATGATCAGTGTGCGGACTCGTTTAGTGAGCGTCAGTTGTGTGCCAACTCTTCGAAATAATGAAACAAAAGAATCTTTGCCCTACTTCGCTGACCTTTTATTGGAAAGAAAGAAAATGAGTGCACAAGTTCTGTAGGGGAGCTATGGGGTAAAACAGTATGGAAAAAATAGAATAAAAAGATGAGAGGGCAGAGTGACACATTGCAACTTTAAATAGGATTCTCAGAGTAAGCATCATTGAAAAAGTTACGTGTGAAGGAGGTAATGGATTAACTGGGGGAAGAGCTGTTAATGCAAGCAAAGCTGATTATCTAGGAAAAAAGTCTAGGCCAGGGACCCATGTAAGGCCTGTTCAAGAAACACCATGGAAGGGCCCCATTGGCATAGAAATTCAGACAGTGAGACAGACAGACAGACACACACACCCATATTGGAGTGTCTGGTTTTGAGCTCTGGCACCACCAGATTCCAGCTTCCTGCTAATGTGCTCTCTGGGAAGCCCCAGATGATGGCTTGGCTCAGAAGTTACCCGCATTTGGAGAGCGAGCCAGAGAAATGGGAGATCTCTTTGCCTTTCAGATAAATAAAAGGTAAAAAGGAGAAACATGAGTGCCCTAGAGTCCTGGCTGCTCCACTTCTGATGCAGCTCTCTGCTGATGTACCTGGCAAAGTGGTAGAAGGTGGCCCAAGTATTTAGGCCCCTGCTACTCATGTGGAAAACCCACATGAAGCTCCTGGCTCCATGCCTTGGCCTGGCTCAGCCCCAGCTGTTGCATCCACTTGGGGAGTGAACCAGCAGATGACAATCTCTCAGTCTTTCCTTCTCTGTCAATCTACCTTTCAAATAAATAAATATTTTAAAAATCAGGATTTCAGGGACCGGTGCCATGGTTCACTTGGTTAATTCTCCGCCTGCAGCGCCAGCATCCCATGTGGGTGCCAGGTTCTAGTCCCAGCTTCTCCTCTTCCAGTCTATCTCTTTTCTGTGGCCTGGGATAGCAGTGGAGGATGGTCCAAGTGCTTGGGCCCCTGCACCTGCATGGGAGACCAGGAGAAGCCCCTGGCTCCTGGCTTCAGATCAGCGCAGTTCCCGCCGTAGCGGCCATTTGGGGGGTGAACAACGAAAGGCAGACATTTCTGTCTCTCTCTCACTGTCTATAACTCTAACTGTCAAATAAGTAAATTAAAAAAAAATTCAGGATTTCAATTTTGGAAATATCAAGTTGATGTTGTCCAGTAATCCATTGGTATGTATTGTTCTGCAGCGAGAAAGGGAGGTGTGAACTAATGATAAAAATTTGAGAGTTGTTGGCATATAAATATTTCAAAGCATTAGAGTAGTTATAGATGAACTGAAAAAAAGAGATGAGGGCCAAGGATTAAACCACAGAACAGTAAGATTTGAAAACCTGGCAAGAAAAGTTTGACTCAAAACAGGAGAATAGGAAGCAGCAAGCATTGTGGTATAACAGATTAAACTGCCCTTGAGATGTCTGCATCCCAAATCAGAGTGATGGTTTGAGCCCCAGCTGCTCCCATTCCAATCCAACTCACTGGCAATGTGCCTGGGAAGCAGCAGACAATGACTCAAGGATTTGAGTCCTTGCCAACCATGTGGAATATCTGTCTGGAATTTCTGGCTGAGGCTCCTGGCTTCAGTCTTGCTCAATCCTAACTGTTGCAGCCATTTGGGGAATGAATCATGGATTGGAAGATGAAGAATGAACCAATGAATGAAGATCTCTCTCATTCTCTTTCTCTCTCTCCCTCTCTCTCTGTAACTTCAACTTTTAGATATATATATATATATATATAAAAATATCTTTTTTAAAACAAAAAGATTACTCGAAAGGCAGAATTGGGGAGAGGGGCTAGAATTAGTCTTCCATCTATTGGGTCACTACCCAGATGGCTTCAATGACTGGGGCTGGGCCAGGCCAAAGCCAGGAGCCTGGAACTCCATTTGGGTCTCCCATGAGTTTAGGGACTTTCTGCTTCCTTCTCAAGCACAAAACCAGGGAGCTGGATCTGAAATAGAGCAGCCAGAACTTGAACCCACGCTCACATGGGGTGCTGGTGTCACAGGCTGTGGCTTCACTCACTGTGCCACAATGCATACCCCACCTCCCGTTAAAAAAGAAAACTGAGAAAATTGAGAGTAAAGGGTCATGGAATTCAAGTGAGAAATTGGTTCTCTGCCTCTGCCCTCTCTCTGTAACTCTGAATTTTAAATAAATAAATTTTTCTTTAAAAAAAGAAAGGGGTTCCCCATTGTTTAAGTTTGCTGTATCCTTTTTAATTTTATGAAAATTCCCTCCAAACAGACAAAAGAGCTCCTTTTGGTTTACTGTTAGGAGTCAGTTTTCTTGATATGCTTGAATTTTAAGTTGTAAATCCCATTGTCTGCAATGAGCATTTTAATAATCTAGTGTTTTGTGGTCATACTTCATTTTTTACCCATTCAAGTTCTTTTTAACAAAAATCAGGCATTAAAACTATCAAAATTACATCTTTCATCAAATTCTGCTATTAGGCTACAAGTCTAAAATTACAGTTAAAAAGCTAAAACCATAATGTTTAGATTTGACATTGGATTTGAATTATACAATAAAAATGATGCTGAGCTTTAAAATCACTGACGTGGGTTTGGCTCAATAAAGGGTAAATTTCAGGTGTAATTTATTTTCAAAAGAATAATCAAAAAGAAGAGAAGAAGGAGGAGGGGCAGGAGGAAGAGATGGAAATTCATCTGTAAAATACAAGCTGAAAAATATTTTGGATGTGTCTTCTAGACTCAATAGTCCATCTCCCTAAATATATCTTTTCTTCATAAGAACACAAAATCCTGAAAGACTGAAGTAACTGCTTTAATTTTATTCAGTGGTGCCATACAAATGAGACCATAAGCTGAGACTTCCTCTATTTCCTTCATGCCTTACTCACAATAATAGTTGTATGAGTTGAAAGGACATCTATGGCCAGAATACAATCCTTATTCTGAAGAAGTCACAAAAACATCATTTCAATTCAATGAATTTGTATTTAATGCTACAGATTAAATAAGTCAAGTTGGTAGATATGGTGGAAGCAGTGAATCAGTTCTGTGTTCAGATCTTGACTCATTTAAACATTTTTTTTTTTGGACAGGCAGAGTGGACAGTGAGAGAGACAGAGAAAAAGGTCTTCCTTTTTTTGCCGTTGGTTCACCCTCCAATGGCTGCTGCGGCCAGTGCACTGTGGCCAGTGCACTGTGGCCAGCGCACCACGCTGATCTGAAGCCAGGAGCCAGGTGCTTCTCCTGGTCTCGCATGCGGGTGCAGGGCCCAAGCACTTGGGCCATCCTCCACTGCACTCCCAGGCCATAGCAGAGAGCTGGCCTGGAAGAGGGGCAACCGGGACAGAATCCAGCGCCCCGACTGGGACTAGAACCGGGTGTGCCGGCACTGCAGGTGGAGGATTAGCCTATTGAGCCTCAGCGCCGGCCGACTCATTTAAATTTTATAAAATATCAGTTCCATCACATTATCTCTGTGATATGATATCTGTAAACTGAGATCTCAGTTTCTGCATCTGCAAACTGGGGCCAGTTATTCTACCACATATTTCTATAGGAAGGAGTAGAGATTGTGTACATTAAAGAATCAAATACATTTAATAATATTTATAAATTTTGCTTTTTCTAGGTATCACAGACTGCTAAGCAGTGTGGAAGAAAAAGACATCATGTTTGTCCTTCAACAGTGTATAGTTTAGAAGAAGATGAAATTCTAGTGTGTCAAATGATAAATAGAGATCAGGGTAGGGTGCGAGACCAAGTGTACTTCAGACTTTTGCTTTTTCTTACTAATTGCTTTATTGCCCATTTTTATTCTCAGGGCCCAGTCTCAATATAATAATTGCTATTTTTATTTTTTTAAGATTTTATTTATTTATTTGAGAGGTATAGACAGTGAGAAGGAGAGACAGAGAGAAAGGTCTTCCTTCCGTTGGTTTACTCCCCAAATGGCTGAAGCTGCGCCGATCCGAAGCCAGGAGCCAGGTGCTTCTTCCGGTCTCCTACATGGGTGCAGGGGACCAAGGACCTGGGCCATGTTCTATTGTTTTCCCAGGCCACAGCAGAGGGCTGGATTAGAAGAGAAGCAGCCGGGACTAGAACCGGCACCCATATGGCATGCCAGTGCCGCAGGCAGAGGAGTAACCTACTGCACCATGACGCCAGCCCCAATATAATTGCTATTTTTAAATAAAATTATTTGATTTTTTGTTTATTGTTTTGATTCAGACATTTGGGGGACCCTAGAATATCACTGTCAGACACCAGATGAATTCAAGGATTCAAATCAAGATTCAGTTTAGAAAATTTTCTGTTGCTGGTGCTGTGGCATAGCATCCCATATAGGCACCAGTTCGAGTCCCAGCTGCTCCACTTCCAATCCAGCTCTCTGCTATGGACTGGGAAAGCAGTGGAAAATGGCCCAGTCCTTAGGCCCCTGCACCTGCATGGGAGACCTGGAAGAAGCTCCTGGCTCCTGGCTTCAGATCAGTGCAGCTCCGGCTGTTGCAGCCAATTGGGGGGTGAACCAGCAAATGGAAGATCTCTCTCTCTCTCTGCCTCTCCTTCTGTCTCTGTGTAACTGACTTTCAAATATATAAATCTTTTTAAAAAAGAAAATTTGTTCTATTATTTTACAATCTGACTTAAGCTCTGTACATCTTAGAAACCATTCCAAAGGCACAAAAATATGAATTTATTGCATGAGAATGAGGAAGCATTAGTTTTAGATTAACACATTCCTTATCTACAATGGTATAGCTCTTTGACAAACATAAAATAAATAAATAAAT